ACAATGAGTACTCAGGATCTTGTCTATAAGTAGATGTGTAGTGAAAGGTTCGTATGAGTACGTATGTGAGTACTCGGTCATTTTACATACTCATGAATTTTTGAGAGTACTTGCTCGAGTAATTTGAGTACTCATGCTGGCAAGTCTTACTCTCTGGATGAGTACATTCACTAGGGTACCGATTAGAGGCGATAACAGGATTATTTTTATCGTTCTTTCGCCAATTATTCATGTTGAATAACTAAGCGAAGATATTTGCTTCCGGTTCTCGGAATTTAGCTTCATGATTCTTATACAACTTATTGTGCTCTGCATTTTGTTAAGCTTTGATTTCATGTACCAAGAAATTTATATAAAGGGGACTGTTACGAACTTCATTTTAACCAACAAGTATATTAAATTATGATCTAACTTACTAAATGTCGTCTTAATGTTGGCATACATCGAAGAAATTTCAATAGACATAATAATCTAAATGCACGCAAAACAGATAATCCACTATTTCCTGAAATAATTAATTGAATAAGACTAATCAAAACAATTCCACCATCAAATATATTAAATAAATTTTTAATATACGCTAAACAGCCATGAGCAATTATTTTCAATAGAATTTCAATTGTAAATAATATTGTAAAAAAATAATTGTTAAATTGTAATAAATTTGTTAAGAATTGTGGTTGTCCATGATATTCAATAGCTATTAAAAATGTATTTATAATAATAGCTAAGAAAATAATACCATCGAAATATTTATTAGCAACAAGACGAGAAATTAATGTTTGTATTATTTTCAAAGATGAACAACAACAACTATTAGATCGTTGGTCACATTTTGAGTTTTCTTCTTCTTTATCATCTCGATGTACAATTTCATCTTGGTGATAACAATCACATATATTATTTTGTTCTATCTGTTGTTCAATTTCAAGATTTGTTTTGTTTTCTCGATTTTTTTCAATAAATGATAGATTATTATTTGGTGAAGTTGATAATAATGATTGCAATTGATAATATCTACAATTTGGTCGATGATTTTGATTAATTAATGGATCTGCTGTTGTTATTATCTTTTCATCATATCTTTGATTAATCTTTGAAAATAAAAATTTATGTCATTTTATCTCATTTACATATACGAATATTAATCAAAGTTGAACAGTTTTTAAAATTAAAGAAATTTCTCTTATTAGTATTCTTTTTCTCGAGATACCATGATGTACTTAAAATCAGACATCAATATCCTACTGATGGGAAACTAATCGATTAACCATCAATGTTATTCAATAAAATCTAGCATATTGAACTTTTCATCTTAGGAATTGTTAATTAAATTACTTTTACACATCCTTTATCTTACTTTATCATGTTTGTATTGAGAATTTTTCCAGAATATGCTCAATCGTTGATATTCATTTTTCGATAATTGTTGAAAATAATTAATTATTTTTTCCCAACAAGAAATTGCTTGATCATTTCTTACAGCATTTGTTGAAGGTATAAACTGTTTTTGTTCAGCTAACATTTTCTCTATCTCTCGCTTTTTTGTCACATTAAGCTGTGCAGAAATAGCAAACAGACAAAGATTGATCATAACATAGGAACCAACAATAATAAGACACACAAAATAAATCCAATTCCAAAATGAATGTGCATCTTGTACATAATACATTATAATACTCCAATTTTCTAAAGTAATTATCTAAGTACAAAAAAACAAAAAAAGGAAAACATAGAAGTATATCATACAAACTGAGAAACGAACTTGCAAGATAGCAGTCCATGCTCTACGAATATCATCGAAACTAATCGTTCCAGAAAATGGATTTTGATCAGAAGTAACACATGATCGATAATAATGATTCCAGTTAATACATCCGTTCATTGTTTGATTTAATGATAAATCCCATGAATCAAAATTAAGTTTACATGTCATTTTATCTCGACGAAATGGTGGAATTTCTGAACATTTTGTCATTCCACTAGATAGTGGATCAGAACAAATAAATGATTTATCATCGGAAGGAGTATAAAATGGTGGAATAGAAAAATAACTTAAAAAAAGACAATAAACAAACAAAATATTTAGATTTCAATAAACATACTTGAATAATTCATAATTAACAAAACTCGTTTCATTGAACTGTAGAAAACAACGTTTACGTAATAATCCTTTCCACAGTTGTACACCAATGAAGCCAAAGATAAAAAAGATAGAAATCCAGAGAAGAAGTATATTGCCAAGAATAGGTAATGTATCGAGTAGAAGTTGAACAATAATACGCATCGATGGGATACGATTAATGATACGTAATGGACGAAGTACTCGAACGGTTCGAATAACTGATAAACTCCAACTATTAGTTGTTATCAAAAATTCTACCGATCTAAATGTTAATAGTTAATAATCTTTCATTTTAATTGCTACAGTTAATTGTCATTTTCTAGATTCGAAATATTTTATCTAATCATAAAAATCATTTTCAGTATATCACGACGAAAGAGTATTTAGAATGAATTTCAAGAAATCTTTGACATCATTTATTTTCAAACTATTTTATCACTGTCTTATAGTTTTCATATTTAAACTCATCAAATCTCTAATCGATGGAGATTTTCATTGAAGACAAAAAATTAATATAATCCTACCCTGCAAGTACAATAAAACAATCAAATCGATTCCATGAGTTAGCAAGATAAGTTCCTTCACCAAGTACTCCCATTGCTATCATTTTAATACACATTTCAATTATAAATAATACAAAAATAAAGCCACTTGTTATGTGTAACACAGTACAAGATATCGTACTGCATTTATTCCATGACTCTACCTTATTATATTGTGCACATGGTTCATACATTCCAAGTATAATACAATTAAGCAAAATAAGAAACATAATTATATATTCAAAATATGGCCATGTGATCAATAGTAAACATTGATAACGTGGTGTCGTTGTTTGCCGAATACGATAAAAGACTTTTTCAACGAAATCTGGAAATGGTAGCTTATTTTTGCCAGTTTTGTCAAGAGTAAATGAATCTGATAAATTGGATAAATTGTTTGATGCAACAGGTTCATTAAGAAAAGGAGCTTTTTCGTTTATGTGTGAATCATCATTTGTAATCTTAACAATTGTTGGTGATGATGTATCAGTCATGTTTTTATTCATTATTTGAAACAGAATAAAGCGTAATGATGAACAGCATTGACAAACATCTAGAAATTAAGAATCTATTATAAATTCTTCTTGGGTACGTTGCAATGTTCTTCAAACATTTAACATCTATCTAGAGGTAGTGCTGAAAAATGTCTCCTGTGCTAGCTATTTCTTCTTATGATCACATTGGTAAACATTTGCGATTATTGTGAAAGTATTTTCAATAAGATCCGGAGTTTTCATTGATGATATATGGAATATCATTACAGTATTGCGCAGTGAGTCCTACAACGCTTTCAATGCTTTCCAGACTTTTCTTATGTCTTTAAAATGTTCTCATCTGTTAAGTAATCGTATAATTACTTTGTACCGGATGCTTTTAATCTTCCAACTTCTCTCATTGACTTTTTTTTATTGATTTGTATTAAATTAAAGAGAAAACTCTCGTACACGTTTTTCAATGAAAAACCCTATCAACTTTGATATAATCATGTGATATGGCAATCGAATTGAAGTAAATCTCTATCCTACCGTTTCGAGCTGTATATTGTACAGTTTAGAGTATTATACATGGTTGGCCTTTAACAACTACACGTACAATATTTATTAATGTTTGAGAACCTAATACATCCACTCTTGGAAAGAAGCTTTTCATCGAATCAAAAAAAGTAATATGTTTTGCACCAACCCGTATATTAATGCAATTAGCGGTATTGCCTTTCCTCTATCTAACCTTTTTATTTCTATACCTAACACATTCTTATACTTAATCCCCTATATCTATAGTTAAAAACTTGAAACCATACCAAAATTCCTATAACAATAAATATTGAACAACTGATTTCTTCATTATACACACATCTGTTCCATTATAAATATGTTGATCTCTTTATACCCATACTGAGCAGCTCTTCAATCTATCCATTATGTCTGTATTCTTTAATATCCTGAGGATTATGTGCTCATATATATGTGCTGAGAACTTTTTCTGGAAATGATGTTGGTGCCTCGTAATATATTGATGAATGTATTTTCTTACACTAATATCCTATTACTTATATTCTTGTAGCTTTGTCTTTTTATCTATACCATCCAGATATAAGAGATTACCTAGAACAAATATGATAAAGTAGTTTTTTACTGAAAGCTCTCAAACTCTAAGTTGTTATCATTCTACCCAATCACGTAAAGATTCGTGTGAAAAGTGTCCAACTCTTCCAGGTTTTCTGAACTCTGAAAAGATTGTGTATGAAAGAGACGAAATCCGCCGAATTTTTGGGATAAAAAGAAAATTTTGCATAAAGATCCCATAGCCTTTTTCAAAGCTACAGAGCTACTAAAAGACTACGTGCCAGAAATTCGAAATCCTGCTAAATTCTCGAAACGTAAAAGACAGAATTGTTACCATTTAACCTCTAAAAGGAGAATTTTTTTACAGTAAATACGTTTAAGCTTTGTTTTAATATGGTAATGTGGAGGTTCCACGATAAATCAGGTTTTATATTCTTTTATTTATCTCTGGATGATGATATTTCTAGTTCATCTGTTATTGTTACTTCAGTATTTTTGTTCTTATGAGTCTAGATGTCGTTAGCATTAGCAACCATTTTATCCGATAACGCATAGGTATTATTACTCGTCAAGTTATATATCCCCGAAAACAACTCATGAAAAATTACATATATTGATTTGCGCGACTCAAACAAGTACTGGAAAACACGACAGAAAAAAAAAACACATAGAAAGAGATCGAAGCCGAAACAAATAATAAGGATTGGTAGTTTTTCTTGATCAGTGAAACGCAACGCTTATTCTGACGTTATCTTGTAATGTATAGGACAGCTCAGAATATCAATGAATGTTAACAAGAATCTTTTGACTATTTTTGAAATAATGATCTAATAGTAATTTATCACAAGTCTTACTTAAAAATATAAAACACTGCATATGTGAAAAAGCAGAAAAATATGGAAAAAAAACAAAAATGACAGACAAACAAGAAGAAAGGACAGAAAAAAAACAGAAAGGACAGAAGAAAAACAGAAAGAACAGAAAACAAAACAGAAAGGGCAGGAAAAAAAACAGAAAGAACAGAAAACAAAACAGAAAGGGCAGGAAAAAAAACAGAAAGAACAGAAAAAACAGAAAGGATAGAAATGCAACAACCGAGCCTAACGTGTAAGACATTGCTCTTCCTCGATTGAAATGATTGCAATGCCTTTTTCCTGTTAATTATTTATGCGTACTTCTATCTGTCTCTTTTTCTATCAATACTTTGTACTGACATAATTAGTTTGTTTATTTCGCGTGCAAAATAGAAATAACTGCAATAACCATTTCCGTTCATTCTTCTTCTCCGTTTATTATGTTGATCTCTTCCTCCTCTTACATGTACTTTTGAATTGTACTATCAATGTGTTCTTTTCTGTTACATAGTATTATCCATCAATGTAGTCTAACCTTTTGCTCCCGTCCTTAAATCTATATCTTTCTGCTATTGTGTTTACTGTACTTTTCAAGGAACTTCTATGCTAAGAAATAGTATATAAGGAGCGAAAAAAGTACAGTATGTGTGCGATTTTATTTACATTAATAATGTATTAAGGCAATAGCTCTTACATTGTGCCTATTACATCTAAAACCGTCACAAGAAAAAAGCAAAACAGTTTATTCGAAAACTTCCCCATGTCATAGATGCCACCACGATTTTGCTAATATCCAAAAATATCAGTGTAAAATCGCGATAAATCCAGTTTTGCTAAAAATCGATGATAATATAAGATTTTATTGCGATTTCAATTGAAAACTCAATTAACTAGAATCTCCAATAAATCAAAACGGTTTATTGCGTTTAATTTCAAGTTTTTTCGTATATTTGTGCAATTCTTATAATCAAAAAAATAACTATTGATTAATCCCTAGATGAATCTCTTTTGGTCTGCGCAGGAGATACTTGAGAATCTTGATCAAGAAAGCCATGTGCTATGCAGAAATCTTGAGGCAAGACTTGAGATCTTTCGGTGAGCTCAACTTCTTGAAGTTCTTGTTCTATCGCTTGATATTCTTGCCCATGCGCTTGAATTCTATCCCAAGAGTTTCCGTTATTGAGGAGCTTTTTTAATTTTTTTTTCCAATTTTACGTTCAAAATAACTTAACTTTTAATAAAAATTCATAGTTGAATTTTCTTGGGTTGAGCACATGAGTTTCTTGTAACTCATGCAAACACTCAAGCGCTTGTCTTGAGCAAGAAAATCATGTGCTATGGACAAAACTTGAGATCTGCGTAGGTCAAGAGCATGGAAAAAAAAAGTTTGCCTAGGGATATTATTGCAAAGAAAAACATTGTTTCAGTTATAGGCAGGAGTAATACTAAATATAGAGCGACTGCTCCAAATTCGAGGGTGTGGGTGTGGGGTGTGGGTGTCTGAAGGTTTTGTTTAAACCCACACCCACGCCTGCACTTACACCCACATCCACACCCATTTAAATTTTGAGTAATCGCTTGCGCTGGCTTGTCTAAGCAAACTGCTAACAGAAACACTCGAAGTGGTTCAAGATCACCATTGAATACTTTTAAATCAAAATATCTTCCATTTTCTAACTCTTTCAGTTCTTTTACAATAGGAGTAAGTATAGTGTACATTTGATCTCGTGATGGTTTTGTTTTACTGGATGATACTCCGGCAATTATTATATTTTTCATTTTAAATCTTTCATCACGCTTTAGTTCATTAACAACAAAACTTATCACCCATAAAGATGCATTCGAGCTTTTAGCTATCTGAATACCATCAATATTCATTAATAGAGATATAAATTTTGTTTGTAATTGTTCTAATAAAATTCGATTATATGCTGCTCTATCAGTAATATCTTTCATAACATCAATTGTGTATGTGGATTGATTTTGACGTTCAAAATTTAAATATTGTGTACGAGCAAGAATGTTTCGAATTTGTGGCAAAATAGACATATATACAAATTTTAAAGGAGTTTTTTTTAAATACTCATGTTGACTGCATTCAACATTATCACAATGAACAGCAGTTTTGCAGGTTTCATTGCACTCATTACAAATGTTAATAATTGTTGATTTATCACTTGTCTGAGTTTCACGATGAAAAATACGCATAATTCGAGAATAACTTTTTGGAACATTGGAAACTTTTAATAAACGTAAAAGATAACAGATATGTTTCAGACAAATATTCGAAAGTTTATGTCGGGCTTTCAGCATGACGAGAGCTGTTGCAATCTGTTTTTCCGTTAGTTGAAAACTTCTAAAAATATTTTTTAATAATTTTAAATCGATACGAAAAAAATGTTTACAATTTTATCGGAGTAAACTCATCATTTTCAAATGTATCACTATAATTCAATTTAGTATCTTTTTCATCAATTGTCAACCAGTCTTCTTCATCATCATGTTTAACTAAAGTATCTAAATTTACGGAAGATGATGAAGTCATATTAAGCATACGTTGTTGTTCATTATTAGAAATCACAAGAACAAGAATTAAAATAATCATATAGCTAAATAAATAAATAAGGGTGTGGGTGGGTGTGGGTGTGGGTGTGGGTGTGGGGTGTGGGGTGTGGATGTGGATATGAACGTGAGAGAAGACACCCATACCCACACCCACACCCACACCCACACCCACACCCACACCCACACCCACATCCACACCCACACCCGCACCCACTCACACCCTTACCTCGGACGTATTTATGGTTTTTTTTTTGTTGTTATCATTTACGAACAGAGAAGAAATCGAGTGGTGCCACATATCCAAGATTTTGGAGATGCGGTCATTCACCACTGGAGATGTAAGATCTCCTTTAGAGATGCGCATCACCCACACCCGCGTCTCCAAAATCTTGGATATGTGACACTGCTGAAGAAATCCTTCCAAGATAAATAATATTATTGCCAGTTGTAAAGAAAATGAGTGCTTCTTATCAACTTCGAGTAATGCCTTTGTTTGTCACTCTTTCACAGTCAATATAATAAAACATTTCATTCAACGTCGTATATAAATAGTGAATCGGGCATGCGAACGCTGTCTTACTCGCTTCGACTAGAAGAACCATTAACAATACATACGTCAAAAAGCCAAAATAACAAGTGATTTACAAAAAACCAAAGCCAGTAAGTACTACTCGATTCATCTTTTTTCACAGTGCTCTACTTTTCTTTTCGAGATTTCTAGAGGACGGTCGAAAATGATCACTTGAAACCTGTATAAAAGAGATCCTAACTAACAGAGCAAAAGTTATGTTACTTTGAAGAAAATTTCATGCTTCCGTTAGAGCAATATCGATGTTGCAAGTTGTCAAAATGATTCCACATCTGTGTCCTACTTTTGTTAGAAGACATTTACTGAGAGAGCTGAACCAAGATGTTGAATTAGTAAAGAAAAGGTTCTACTAGACTGCACCTATTGATACACCTCAAACCTATACTGACGAATACCAGCGAATATCGGTGAAATTATCGGCCAGTCCAGAAAGTCCTAACTGGTAGGAAATCGTTAAGAGACTTGTTATTTACTATGGACGAATACTATTGTTTTTGAGTAAAATGTGTGTGAAGATAGAGGTTAAACGGAGGTTCTGATCCGAACTGTTGCCAATTTTGGTCATAGAAGCTAGCAAAAAAGAGAAAGATCGAAAATTCTCATCAGTTTGAAGCTAAATTTGCTCTTTGTTCCAGCTGTATACGGATGAAATAATGATCTGTAACGATTCAGTACAATGTTTTTATATCAGACTGAACTGGCAACCATAATGACGGTGAAAATTATCGTAGACTGTCAACTCAGATGACGTATACGGCTGTTTAAAGCAATGACTTGTCATTTTGATAATAGCCGTATATCGTCGTATCGCAGACAACCAAAGATTTATAGTTTAGGACCATTTGTTGCAGTTTGGAATATTGCAATATATGACTATAATAGGGCCACTGTTCAAGCTGCAAGTGATGGTTCTTTACGGCAGTTTATGCCCGTGTTTATTTGATCAGAGCATACCAGCGAACCCGCTAGTGATTTGAGGGTCCGGCTCTGGGTCTGACTCGAAGATTTTTCCCAAGTGCCTAACGTAATCTCTGATGACTGGCATTTTTCGAACCGCTTCAGTCGGTTTGTATTCTCCATTTGGTTGCTGAATTTTCTTGAAAAATAACTATCGCCCTCAATTTTCTCCGCTGAACGGATCACGTCCTAAGATTGTCTCCTTTTCTAACCTTTTCTGCTTTTGTTTTTGATTTTTCGACATACTCATCTTCGTAGCATGTTTCAACGGAGAGATCAAATGATGAGGCATGTTTTAACCTCGCCAAGGAGAAAAATCAAGATCATCGAGACTCCCACTTGCTCTGGTATTCTGTGGCGATTATTATCACTTCTCAACAATTCTCACTGCCATGGACACCTTCCTTTTTGTCGTTTGTCTTCCCTCTTCGGGAGTTAGCAGAGGAGGAAATATCAAGTCCGTGACTCTCCACCCTCCTGGAGTCAGGAGAATCAGTAAGAATTCAGAGGAGTCTGTGATTTCATGATGTAAATGAATCACAGAAAATCTAAAATTGGTATGAAATGTACACCACAACTTTACCAGGTCTACTACGATCATTGCTCCGTATGCTCATGCTGGCGGTGCGTGCTGTATGTATCTCCGTGATATCCTCACGTTTGTATCGTGGTAGGCCTTTGTTCTGCAGGACTTATATTGAATTGTTTTATTTATTAATATAGTTCTCTTCCTATTTATTTATGAGTTATATTATTTTTTTCCTTGACGTTTCGATCAATGAAATTGATCTTCTTCGGAAGTTCTCGAACAGTTAAAATGATTAAATTATAGTAAAGGGTGTGGGTGTGGGTGTGGGTGTGGGTGTGGGGTGGGGTGTGTGGGTGTGGGTGGGTGTGAGGTGTGGGTGTGGGTGTGGGTGTGGGTGGGTGTGAGGTGTGGGTGTGGGTGTGAGGTGTGGGTGTGGGTGTGAGGTGTGCGTGGGGTGTGGGTGGGTATGGGTGTGACTCATGTGTCAATCTACACCCACACCCCACACCCACACCCACACCCACGCCCACCCCACACCCACACCCACACTCACACCCACCAACACCCACACCCCACCCACACCCACACCCACACCCCACCCACACCCACACCCACACCCACACCCACACTTTTGGTTGAATGTGTGATTTGCTTTTTTCCTTGCTGTTTTGCTTGAAAATGATAATAAAACCTTTGAATTTTGTACGTGATGTGCTTGATAATGAAGATATGGCGGCAGTTTTCTACAATGGGGATAGTCGTTGGTTTGGGTGATTTGGAAAAATGAGCCATATGAATATCTGATCTAGATTCTGGTTGATACGAATTCGACTCTAGAAGGATGAGGAAGTTCGAAGTTTTTTCTTTTTGATAAAAAGAGTGTGGTTTTGAGTGTGGGTTTGGGTGGGTGTGGATGTGAATATGGGTGTAAATGTAGGTGTTGGTACAGATCTTCTTATCATATCCACATCCTCACCCACACCCACTCCCAGACTCACATCCACCCACACACCCACACGCACACCCACACCCCACACCCACTCCTATTCTCACTTTCTCTTATTGTTGCGCTCTTCTTAACTTTTTTCTTTTTTTTTTTCTTAACGTTTTGATTGTCAACCTCATTTCATAGGGACAATAAAAATACATGTGAAAAAAAAAACAGTACATATATGACGGTTCAAAAAAAAGTGTAGAATGAATCCAAATAAGACGTCTTTAAATAGACTTTTTTTCGTTGTGTAAACAGACGACATAAAATGAACGGAATTGAGTGTTGTTTCTTACTGTAAGACAATATTTTTTCTCTTTTTTTGTTGTATTTTTATCCAGTGGCAAAATGAAATTTGAAAAAAAGGCTCTTACAACACGGTCAAACGAAAAACAGATTGAGACATCAAAACTTCATTGAAAATCACTATTCATTTTAGAAAACGCTTCTAATTCGAATCTAGTTTTATCATCTAAACGTGCATTCGTGATGGCATCGAATGATAACCAATCTTCTGTACCAAATGAAGGAACTAATCAGAATTCATTCGATCGAAAAGAACATTTATATACTAATCATTTTATATGTTCCCTTCATGATAATATTTTACTTTATCAATATGATATAGCAGTAGAAGAATCCGATGGAAGATCTCAGAATTGGATCGAATGTGAAAATCGTTGGCGATGCACCCAAGTGTTGAAATCATTGACAGGAAATAATCAATTAGAACCGAATGTTTTTGTCTGGTACGATGATGAAAAAACTTTATTTAGTACATCAGAGATATCGACACCAATGTTGATACCTGGTCATAATCGTCGATATCGACTGAATATTAAATCATTATCTAATCAACAGTCAACAAGTGATATTAATGATTATATTAATGATCGAACAAATGTGTTTCCGTACGATACAGTTCGTATAATTGAAGCTCTTTTGAAACGATCACTTCAAGGTCGAGTTCGAATTGTTAGAAATAACATTTATTTTCTTGATGAAGAATATAATCAAAATGAAGATGAGTCTAATGAATCATATGGTTTTAAGCGACGTTATGGTTTCAATCAAGAATTAAATCGCTCTTCTGCTGGATTAACATTAAATATCCAAACCAAGTGCACTGTATTTTATTCTAATATTTCTTTACTTGAATTTATTTATAAACAAATTCGTTCTGATCGAATGCCGACTGATAATGATTATAGAAAACTTACACGAATATTGAAAAATTGCTCGATTGTTACAGATGAACCACACTGGGAAACAAAATATCGATTCGAGAAATTTGATTATCGACGAGTATATGAAATTCAACTTGAATCAGGTGAATTATTGATTGATTATTATCGCAATGTGAAAAATCTGACATTAAGACAAATAAATTATCCATGTATTCAAGTTCATTCACAAAATAATCCGACTACAATTCATTATTTACCATTGGAAGTTTGTCGAATTAAAGACTGGCAAATTTGTCATGAACCAGTAAGTTTTCTACTGACATACGTTAAACTATAATATATATATTTATTCTAGTCACTTTGTGTTCCAGAAGCTGGAAGATATATTCTAACACCGGAGGAATGTTATTATCAAATTATGAGTACACTTTATGATTGTGATTATAACACCAATCCACTCTGTCAAGCTGTTGGTTTTCATGTTGATAATGAAGAAATGTTAGATTTTGATGCTCGAATTTTAGTTCTGCCTACTATCAAAACAGGCGTGGCTTATTGGGCTGAACTTGTAGAAGGTGAGATTCATCTTGGTGGACGTGTACATACACATAAATTAATATCAAATTTGGCAATTACATATTTTGGTACAAATTATAATCAAAATAAAGATAATATTCAACGATTCACAGACATATTAGTCGAGGTAAATTTGATTCTTTGTTAATATACTTTCAACTGAAGTTCTTTGTTCAGGTTATGGAGAGTTACAATCTTTATTATTCAGGCCATAAAGAAGACCATATAGTACCTATTGCAGAACATATCGATCAATATTTTTGTTCGATGAGTGAACAGAAATGCCAATTTATTATTTGTCTCATGGATAGAAAAGATGAAGATGAACTGACAAAGCTTCGAGTGAATATCAAACGATGTGGTACATTACTATACGGTAATTCTATATTGTCATACAATTCGAAATCCTCATCGGCATTTTTCTAGGTATCATGACTCAATGTGTTAATTATTCCGAAATTCTATCTGATGAAAAGTCTGCAAATGATTATTGCAGAAATTTAATCCGAAAAATCAATTTTAAAAATGGAGGTATTAATATTAAATTAGATTTAAGTGATGTTTGGAGAAATAAAAAATCTCCGAATGATTCATATATGTATTTTGGTGCTGCTCTAACGTCTTCAACAGATGTTTCTCGTCAATACTCTACTCTTGCAGGTATGAAAGTTTATTTCTATTTATCAGAGATTAATGTATGCTTTTCATCTTTAGCGATTGTTGGTTCTGGGAATGATTCTTGTTCAACTACAGCTGCACGTGTTTGTAAACAATATCCAAAGGGAGATTTTTCTTCGATAGAAACGATTGCTGGAATGACAAAAATGATTGAACAATTATTGGATTATAATTATGAAATCAGTAAACGTTTGCCCACGAAGATTATCTTCTATAGAGATGGTGAAACCTTTTCTCGGTTAATCTTTTTTTTCATAAGAAATTTCTTTAGGAAATGAAGATGAACCATTCACAAAAATTCGTCAGGTTGAAATACCAGCTATTCGTCAAGCGTTTGATAGTAAGTTCTCAATTTGTTATCATTCACAAAGAATATGAGTTTATTATTCACTAGAAATATATGGTGATCAAACGAACCATCCTCTTTTGACGTTTGTTGTTGTCAAAAGACGACATAACACACGATTTTTTACCTATAAACCTATGGATAATCAATTGGAAAGCGAATTGAATAGAATATCCGAAGAGACCAAGAATATGCCAATTGGTTGTGTTATTGATACAACCATTGTTCATCCTGATCAGCATAATTTCTACTTGAATTCACATAATAGTCTTCTAGGTATGAATCATCCACCACTTTATTATGTTCTTTTGGATGAAATTGGTTGTACACCTGATGAATTACAACTATTAACTTATCATCTGTGTTATACGGATCCTCGATCAACAGCTTCGGAAGCAGTTCCATCCGTTCTTCATCAAGCAGATGTTGCTGTGTCCAATGCTCGAGATCTTTTTTACAGTGCTCATGAGTAAGAAAAGAATAACAGGGAAATAAAAATTTGATTTTGATGAATGTTTTAGTTCATCGATTATCGATATTGCCGAACGAAGTCGAATACTACAAAATTCTACTTCGAATGATTGTGATTATGAGTTTCTTCAAGTTCATGAAAATCTTCGAAATAAACCTGTGCTCGCATAGTCTTATTTGAGAATGAAACTTTGCTTATTTTAATCAAGTGTAATTTTTACAATTATATATTTTAAAAAATAAATAAACGTATCTCTTGAGGATGTGAATAGTTATAAGACTACTTGAATTCAAAATGAATAAGTAGATTTGGAAATAAATCCAACGAACCATGTAGACAAATATTATTGTTGTTAGATAATTCTTCTAATGGTGCTTCGCATTATTGTGTCTATACTTAGGGTTGACCAAAAGTTCGTAGAACAGTGCTGAAAGAACCTTGTGGAATAAGGTAACCTATTCAGAAATGAAAAACCAAATATACCATGTTGTAGAGCTTTTTGAGGTGCGTCGAATGGTATATAATAAATCCTGTTTCCATAAGACTTTGAAGAAACTAGAGTCAATTTACTGACAAACGACTACACACCCACACCCATACCCACACTGACAAGATGCCCGGAGATGCTACGTATATGAGGTTGTAGCCCGTGAAAAACTCTACAAAATCGTATGTGAGAAACAATATTTTACAAATACTTTCGACTAGTACCGAGGACCACAATATTCAATAACCTATCATGCTTGGATGAGGGTGTGGTTAGGGATGTGTAGTCGTCTATCAGTAAACTGACTCTAGTTCCTTCAAAGTCTTATGAAAACAGGATTTATTATATACCATTCGACGCGCCTCAAAAAGCTCTACAACATGGTATATATGGTTTTTCATTTCTGAATAGGTTACCTTATTCGACAAGGTTCTTTCAACACTGTTCTACGAACTTTTGGTCAACCCTAAGTAATTCTTACTATCGTCTCGTAGAAGTAGTGGGAAAAATATGAAACTGCGATGTGGGTGTGGGTGTGTGTTACTATTCTCTTTTACTACACCCACAGTCACAGCCACGCCCACTCCCATACCCAGAGCCACACCCACACTCACACCCACACCCACACCCACACCCACATCCCACACACCCACACCCACACCCCACACCCACACCCCACACCCACACCCACCCACACCCACACACCCACACCAACACCCACACCCACCCACCCACACCCACACCCACACCCCCCACCCGTTTCAAAGATTTAGAAATAAAGAGGCATGACTGTTCATTTCCCATTTTATCTTGAGTTGATTAATAAAAAAAGAGCCAAAGATGATAATTCCTTTTAGATCACTTACTTGAATTAGGCAGCGTATATCGAGATGACCATTCAATAAGATCACTTGTAGGAACATCAATTGAAAATGGTGCTTCCTTGAGAAAATTAAATTTTTTTCGAAAATAAAACAAACTAATATGCATACCGTCTAATTAAAATCAATCTTGTTCATAATCAATTTTTATCTTCAATACACAAAATATATCAGATATTGGAAGTAGAACAAATGTATGACGAAGATTAGTAGCTGGGAAAATGGTAAACTTGTTAAAGAGTAGTCATTGGACAAAATATGTTTATTCGATCATGTAATTTACTTGGTAGTATCACATAATGTGAAATTTGTTTGTCACAATAAACATACCGTTGAATAAAAACATAATTTTGATTATCTCTTGAGAAAAATATTATTATTTTTTGATATGGAACCATATTAATGTTATTACTATCAATGAAAGAAATAAAGTCACTATTACAATTAAAAGTACAATCGTATATCGAAGAATGGAAACTAACGACTGAAGATCGATAACGTTCGTACAAATATATGACCTTGCTAAAGTTACCACTCATGCAAGATATTGTATGAATATGGGATCATCTGAGTTCAATATCTATGTCGATAGAAGAGAGAAGAAAAAGAAATGTGGATAACGATCATCTATCGTTTGTAAAAAATGAAATAAGTGTGAATATAGTAGTTATGGCCATGTAGGTTATTTTATTCGTTTGTTTCGCCGTCTGTTCTGTCTAAGGAAAGAGAAAAAAATCGCACAACTCGCGTAACCGTATCAGTCAAAAGAAAAAAGAAAATGTAATATGATTACTTATCTAATTTATCCTGTTTGTTTATATCGAACAGAAGTGATTGTGTACAAATGAAATTGTTACAATTTTTGTATGTTTCTCTTAATTGTACTTACACTCATCAGACAATTGTTTGTTATATTAAACTTGTTGGATAGTGTTGCATGTCGCATTTTGATTCAATACGCGATCTGAAAAGCGAGATTGATACTACCATGAGCTTCTTTTTTATATATCGAATAAATTATTCGAAAGCAAATACTCATATGTATTCTAAGCCATCGACTTGACGAACTTGATAAGAAAGATGAAGATGCACGTGTAGAGAAAATATTTCGATAGATGGATCGTGTACATTTGAAGCTGTGTGACAATAAAAATCAAGAAGACGTTCAGTAACTAATATCTCTTCCTTTGTTTGAGGTGAATATAAGAGTTTAATAGCTAATGAATAAATGACAAAATGGGAAAATAAAAGAATTGGTAAATGATTGGCCATTTTAGATACTCCGACATGAAATACGAAAATACGAGAATTTTTGCTTTCTATCGCGATGTCATTATAATTGATTCAAGAAAAACAACTTTCATATTATGAGGAATAAACAAATGTTGAAGTTTATTGCCAATTTCCTGTATTGTCTTTTTGTCTATATGTGAACACAATTGATTTATTAAATATACAATGTCTCGAGCACATAAGGTGTACCAACTTATAAATGATCTATATGGGGTGATTGAATATTCGAAGTAAAGACAAACCACATCCCATCTACAACTGATTCTTTATCACCATTTGATTTCCGTATAGCTTTTCGAACTGCTTTAAGATAACTATTAAGTGTACGAGCTATAAGATCATTATTTCTATATGGATAAAGAACTTTACTAAATTCTAGATTCTTAGAACATAAAAAATCAAGCTTATTAAAAAAGAATACTATAGAGACGTTAGTTTTGATAAAAAAACCTACCACAAGAAATTGTTGTTGTTTATAAAAAAAGTAAATCTTAAAATCAATCACACATTTCTGTTAAAAAATCACTGTTTCTTTTATACCAAATGAAAGTAAAAAATCGAATGCCTTTCCCGCTTATTGTAATATAAATTACACTAGACTTCTTTGCAGAACTATACTTTTAAAAATAAATTTACATTCAAATCTTGGATAATTTACAAAATCTAAATACTAAGAGATATTTTTGGTAACAAAGAAAATTCTCGTACAAAAACCAAGGGTTCAAGATAAAGTTCGAACAGTCATCCATATCATACGCTAATTCTATGAGTTGTGATTATTTCAATCAATCAGATCATTAAAAATTTGAACACAATAAGGCCACTTAATGAAGTATTTTTTTGCAGATAAAAGCGCAACGACTATAACGATACTTTTTAGCGTTATCACTATTGCGGCGCATAGAGCGCTTGAATACATTACGATACTTAGCGTCGTTATAACGCCTGATAACGCCACTATATGGCGTTTTGGCGCTATAACGGCGTTAGTTAAAAAAAAAAGAACGACATGGGATCATACTTCCTTAAGATCGAACGAGAATTATTTATGTTTAAAAATACCATTCATGATTTTCTTAGCAAAAATAAGAAAAAATTTGTCTTATTAAAGGTTGCTTATCTGTTTGAGTTAGTATAACTAGATATTCTCTAGCAATGAAATCTGCTGTTTTCTTTGCTAATTGTGTTTACCATACTTTAGTAAAATGAATATCACGGTCTGTGGGGAAGGGGGATCCAAATTTTCACCCCTAAACACTTCAACACTCCTTTAAGATCGTGTTTCAGAATAAAATTAGATATATTAGAAGTGACTATATTATTATTATATTACTTTGATCGTTCTAGAGCATATTGTATGAAAATCTTTTGAATTTATTTTTTTTCTGAGAAAAGTAATTATAGATGTCATCAATAAGAAATGCGTTCGTTGTTAATTGGAAGAAATACACACAAATCAGTATAAATACTACAATTTTCATTTGTCATTTGAATATTACAAGGTTTTTTTTAACATTAAGTTTTATTGTGCCATATTCAGGTTCACAAATATTTCAAGAAGTGTTATAGGCTTCATTCAATCATATACTCTTATATGAAATTAATATATATAAATAGTTTTTTTTACCTCTGATATTTTGAGACAATTATTTTAGATTTAAATATCATCATTCATCATCATCATCGTAAAAAACGAACCAAATAGAATTAATGGACTTACCTGATGAATTACTAATTTTGATTTTTATGAAATTAAGTAGTGTTGATGCTTTTCGTTCATTAACTGGAATTAATGAACGAATTCACGAAATATTGTATGATTGTCGTATAACACAATCATTAACAATATTTCAACAAGAATCAAATGATGTTATTTGTCCACCATATGAAAATTTAATTGACAAATTTTGTTAGCGAATATTACCAAAAATTGGTCAAAATACTAAATGGCTTAATCTTGTGTTTTTGTCTGTAGAACGTATTTTTGTTGCTGCCATTTATCCAAATTTATATGGCCTTGGTTTATATAACATCAATGTGAACACAGCTGAATCTTTGTTTTACTGTAAGAAATTTGATTTAATTTTTATTTAATTATTTCTTGTTTTATTACTATTTGTCACAACCAAAATTTCATCTTTTATGTAGTATTTAGAAACATATGAGAAGTTTTCATTACTTTTTTCTCCGTTCAATTCTGGAAGTCGATTTGGTACTGACTAAATCTATCTACTGAAAAAATAAACACTGATAAGTCTTATTATATTGATTTAGATAAATTTTCACCATTGCATATGTTCAAACACCAAATAACTTCACTTATTATTCATCTTGATAAAAATAGTTCATCATTAGATATACGTGCACCAAGACAGATATTTATACGTATATTATCTATGTTTATTAATTTACATAATTTAAAATTCAAACCGGGTGTAGTCGTTTGGCAATACATGTCATTTACCACTTCGTCAACAAAAAAGATTTCAACAAATTTATTAAAATTATACATTAATGTAAAGTCTTTCAATGATTGTATTTATTTATTTGATGGTTGCTTCTTTAAACTTCGTACACTTCATGTTAATATTCTATCAAGTTTAAATTTTGGGTGTGGGGTGTGGCTGTGGATGTGAATCTTGAACAAAAGAAGACACCCACCCACACCCCACACCCACCCACACCCGCACCCACACCCACCCACACCCACACCCACACCCACACCCACAGTGTTCGCATGCTATCCTACAATGATAATCGTCGATAAAGTCCGAATATTCATGCCACCAACTGTATGCATTGCCGTTCGTATTTAATATTCAAACGAATGAGACGAGCAAACATACAGTACTTGGTGGCAATCAGACATATCACACAAGCTCAAGAGCACTCTCTAAATAGAAAGTGGTGGTAGAGCTGCTACAAAGTATGACATGAACTGAAAGCCGATGTATATTATCTCGAACTAGAAAGTTTGAGAAACTACGAAGATAGCTTGGTGGATTTGCTCGGAATCGAACCGAGGTCTCCCGGGAAGAAAACCGGGTATGATACCACTACACTACAAACCAAAGAAATAGAAAATGAAAGTCTCTTTTTATAGTATGTTACAGTATTGCACAAACATGGTGCAATGTGCCATTTGAAAGTATTCTTGCTCTTTCTTTCATCATTTTCTTTCTTGAAAAAAAAAATGATGAAATGAAAATGGTCGCATGAGTAGGAGTAAACATTCAACAACATGTAAGTAAACAAAGAGAACACAGAGTAGGGTGTGGGTGTGGATGTGTGAGTGTGGGTGGGTTTGTGGGTGTGAATGGACTCAGGGTATATCCACATCCATTCACACACCGACGCACACCTACACCCACACCCGCACCCACCCCCACACCCGCACCCACCCCCACACCCACCAGCACCCGCACCTACACCTACACCCACACCCACACCCGCACCTACACCCACACCCACACCCACACACCCCACACCCACACCCACCCACACCCACACCCACACCCACACCCACACCTACCCACACCCACACCCACACACCCACACCCACCCACACCCACACCCACCCACACACCCACACCCACCCACACACCCACACCCTACAAGATAATCACATTATATTGTACCTAAATTTTCAAGATCTACTAACATTTTTGTACCCAAGATCTTGACCAAGATCTTGCTTACAAGATGTTCGACTAGGGATTGACCTTTCATTAGTCGTAGGATAAGAACATGGTAGGTCAACATAGGATTAGCATAATTTATTAAGACAAGTATATACGAGTTACATAAACCGGGGTACCACATGATGAGTTCTAGAACGATGTTGAAGAACGTTTTGAGCAGAAACAATCTATTTCGGATCCAATTATCGTCTCTCTTTTTGCCTATAGGCCATAGTGCTTTAGTCTCAGATTCAGGTTAAGAAGTGGTTTGTTAAATCATTTATTCTGAAACGAATTTTTATTATTTGACCAACATACTTTGATACTTGCTAGAAGACACTGTGGACTATAATGTTACTAACAGATCATTCAACTGAATCCATGCGAAAGTTAAGAGAAAAAAATGTGTGACATAGATGACAGCAAATTTATACAGATACATAACATTTTTAATGTTTATCAAGCACTATAATCATCAAGACCAGAAGTACTATTCCCGATATTTGTATTTAATGAAAGTTATTCAATGTTATTGTCTTCTTCTATATTGATATCAACATCTTTTTTTTGTCGAGCTCTCCGTAATTCTTTGCATTCTTAATATGATGTATCGGTTCATTTGACGAAAGATCATCGTTAATAAGCTGTCACAACATTTATATGTAAGTACACTTATTTTTTCTGACCATCTCACTTGATAGTCGTCATGTTCAACATCATCGCTATTGGCAAACAATAGCTACTATGTATAAACAAATTTTCAAAGAAGAAAACTATAAAAAAATACGTCACAATGATATAAAACACAAACAAAATAAGATAGGTGTCACGGATGCATAAAATGAATCATCACTTAATAGTTAATTGTAGCATGTCCCGGCCTCTATATGACTACAACTTTAATACATAAGAAATATCTTGTATTGCATACAAAAACTAAAAAAAAAAAATCAAAATTTCAACCTGAATTTGACATCAAAGGATTATACATACTATAACAACTCTATTGTTTATATTCACATCCAATCAGTGAACAGAAACAAACATTTCTTTGTGTTCTTTTCTTCTTTTCTCATATACCTTGTTATCTATTTTGCATCTCATTTCAACTGCTTTTGTGCAAACATATTAACGACAGTTTTGTGTGACGCGCACATCAATTTATGTCAATGATATTTTTTTGACTTTTTACTGTAGATATTAAGATGGCAACTACCGAATCCGATGATGATTCCTCCAATGAGTGGTCTCAATTAGCCCAAACGTATCAAGATCTATTTGTACCACGTCTTCAACCACTTTATGATACCATGGCACATTATGCTGTCAAGAAAATTCAGTCGAACGATACAAAAGGTGAATATCAACTTTTGGATTATGGAACAGGTACATATGATTTTTATGTTTTTTGATTAGTAAAAAACATCTTATAAACTTCTTTGATCATTCTATTACTAGGTCCTGGCGAGCCAATTCTGACTATTTTACAACAGCTTACAACAAATCATTTGTACAATGTTAAGTTACAAGCAACTGATTCTTCTCGGGGAATGTTATCTTTAGCAGAAGAACGTTTACGTAAATTGAAAAATCCATATTTGACCGTAAACTTTTCCATAACCCATGATTCATCGAATACAAACGATTATGACATTATTACAACCTCTCTTGTACTTCCCTATGCATCAAATCAAGGTCAAATGTTACGAGACATCTTTCAACAATTAAAACCGAATGGACTACTAATCAGTTCTCATTGGCCTCATCCCGAACAAGTTCCATTTCTTGCAATCATAAAACGAATTATTAAGTTCATGGCTACAGGTGAAAGAATTGATAAATCAGATCTGGAATCGAACGTATCATTTTGTTGCTGGCCAGAAGAAATAACAAGAAGTATATTTGTCACAGAAGGCTATACAATAGAACAATGGATTACTGTTGATCTTCCAATGCCTTTTCCTGATATTCGTACTCTACTTAGCCTTGCTCGACCATTCAAATGGTTTAGAGATTCGTCTTTGTATTTAGAAGCTGAAGAAGAGACAAAGCGCATTTTACGTGAAGATTTTCACTTGGAACTTCAATCGAATGAATCATTTGAACTACCAAGTAAAGCAGTCGTAGTAGTAGCTTCTAAATAACTATGTTTTCATGATTATCAATGATTAATGAATATAGCTCTTGTTCACTATTAATTCAGATTTTTTAATATATCAATGAATTTCTAATGTGAAAAGTTTGTGTGTCAGCTAGTCATTGAATTGTTGGTGTAATTCAGCAAAAAGCAATGACTAACATAGTTATTTCTAGTAGATTGTCGTTCTCGACACATCGCTAAGGACGGATGAGAACTGGAATCGGTGGAGTAGAGATCAAAATCAATTTTTCTATTTCGTTGCATTTTTCGACAACTTATTTGTTCGAGCATTGTTTCATAAAAGAAATTTATTTTCTTATTTAGAAATCAAATTTTAGAAGTTGATTTCTGAATATCACAATGAAATTATACCTTTATTTTATGTAATAAAACATTGGACTTTTTAATCGTTAATAATATTTAAAAAACAATTCCATTTAATATTGATAAATTTTAATGCATAACAATTATTCTGTAAATATTATAAAAGATTGAAAGAAAATATTTTCAACCATTTTAAATTTTTAATAAAAGATCAACTGCCTATCTCTATGCGTGGTTTGCATCATGTTACATCGTTCAGTACCAGGAAAAATATTCCAAAACGTACACGATACGTGCTTCACAATCTCTCAAACGTCCTGTTAGCAACAAAAATGTAGTTCTTCTCCATTCATCTGTTGTAATTGGTGCAAAGCAGCTATATGTTTTGAACGTTTCTTCCTTAGCTATCATTTTCATTAGTTAGAACATCGGTGTGTAAACTTTATTCACAAATAGAAAACAAATCTAATATACGCGTATACACGAAATTCAATATCTCTTGAATAAAGATCGGTGAACACGAAATATTTTGTAGTTTTTCTAGATTCATCGAGATCTATTTCTGACCAAAATATGAACTCAAAAACTCTTCTTAAGTTGGAAACCTTTCCTCATAAGTAGAAAATAACATTTTTTCCAGGGAGATATCACTATAATTGCAAATCGAGTCTAATGAAAACTCACTTTCAATGTCGAATTCATAAAAATTTGCGCTCTACGGAGCCAGAGAAATTCCTATCATGAGACAGTTCAAAACTAGATCTTATTTCAAATGATGAACGTCACCAGTAATATTTATTTTTTAAGGTTCGATGAATATAAGAAATAAATAGTATGACGATCATGAGCGTGCTTTACAGAAAGCAAACGAGATAGATAGGAACATAAAAGAGTTGTAACAGTTTCCATATTTGTTAAAACATCTAAAATGTGTTGTTTCAGAGTTCTTTCATAATAATGATTATGTTTCTTGAGTTTTTTACAATTCACATATATTTTCGAAAATGCTGTAGCACATTCTAAAGCCTTTCCTTAGTAGTGCAATTATTGATATTTGTTCAGATAAAAATTTGATGCATTGAGTTGTCACAATCATCATAAAAAGAATGAATTATATTCAAGTTAAAAGTTCGAAAAAAGAAATCAACATTAGTGTTTGTTTATTTATCGAGATATATAATAGTCCATTGATACTTGCTGTAAATATCATGAACATGCATAACAGACTTATTTACCGGTTACCATGTAAACAAAAATAGAGAGTGAGTAAAACAAGAAAATTCTGTTCGAAATGAAGAAATAAATAAAACATTGATTAAGAGTTTAAGAACATTTTTCACGATACTATTGAATAATTATGATGCAATACGAAAAAATAATAGAAATCTACTGAATCTTTCACTATTAAGAAAAATAAATTTTATCGTTTTTTTTGCACAATTTTTTCCTTTATATTTTGTTTAATCAAAGAAAAATGTTCACATGAACTACTAATATTTATTACATGTTTTTCAATGGATTCATCGGAACAGGACATTTATTATAAAATTCATTTTCCGTCATTTTCATAAATCGTTCAGATCGCAGTATTAATGGACCTAAACGTCGTCCTATTGAGGATAGAAGACGATTTTGTGAATGGAAAATCAAACCTATATATCCGGCAGAATCAACAATACGTTTTGTTCGATGAAAACGTTGATTATAATAATCTTGAAATGCTGGTTCGATTCGAAAGTTATGTTTTTCTAAACATGTTGCAAGTGATATTGCATCTTC